CTTTTATGGAATCTTTGATCAAAGTGTTCAGTAATGGTAGCCAGGTACCATCCAGTTCTTCTGGTCTCAGGGCAAAGGAGGCAGTTGTTCATGGAGACAACTAGCCACACATTCCATATCCTCCTCCTGTTCCTGACTCTCCTTCTTCCTCTGTTGCTCCAGATGAATAGAGACCAATTGTTGAGACTTGGATGGCCGCTTACAAGCTTTTAAGACCACAGGCAGTACACAACGAACTAGGAGGTAGAAGAGAAGCACTAAACATGTTATTAGGCCAACTAACTGGGATGTCCCATGAAACCATGACCTCCAAACCAAGGAACCAAATCCCACGAGGTATTTGGTTTTCTATTGAGCTATAATCCACATATTATAAAATTCCCCCTTTTATAAAGTATACAATTCAGTGGTTTTTAGTATAGTCACAAAGTTGTACAATTATCACCACCACCCAATTCCAGAACATTTTCATCACCCTAAGAAAAAAACCCGTACCCATGAGCAGCCACTCCCCATTTCCCCATATCCATCCTCTGGAAACCAACCATCTATAGTCTGTCTCTATGGAGTTACATATTCTGGACATTTCGTATAAATGGAATCATACAATATGTGGCCTTTTGTATCTGGCTTCTTTTACTTAGTGTTATGGATTGAATTTTGTCCCCCAAAATATGTGTTGTAAATCCTGACCTCTATGCCTGTGGTTATAATCCCATTTGGGAATGGGTTGTCTTTGTTATGTTAATGAAGCAGGATTAGTGTAGGGTGTGTCTTGAATCAATCTCTTTTGAAATATAAAAGAGATTAAACAAGCAAGTGAGCAAGCAGAGATTGAGGAAGATAGATGCCAAGCCATATGGAGATCTCAAAGGAACCGTGCAACAGAAGCTTAAGAGACGAAGACCTTCCCAAAGGGCTGATTAGACAGAACAAGCCTACCTAGAGCTGGTGCCCTGAATTTGGACTTCTAGCTTCCTGAACTGTAAGAAAATAAATTTCTGTTTGTTAAAGCCATCCACTTGTGGTATTTCTGTTGTAGCAGCGCTAGATAACTAAGACACTTAGCATAATGTTTTCAGGGTTCATACATGTTGTAGAATGTATCAGTACTCCATTCCTTTTTATGGCTGCATAATATTCCATCGTATGAATATACCAAATTTTGTTTATCCTTTCATCTGTTGATGAATATTTAGGTTGTTTCCACTTTTTTGGCTATTATGAATAGTGCTTCAGTGAACATTGGTGTACCAGTATCTGTTTGAGTTCCAGTTTTCTTTTGGGTATATACCTAGGAGTGGAATTGCTAGGTCAAAAAGTAATTCTGGAGCCCTGGTGGCAAAGTGGTTAAGAGCTTGGCTGCTAACCAAAAGACTGGTGGTTTGAATCCACCAGCCACCCCTTAGAAACCCTATGGGGGCAATTCTACTTATATTTAACTTTTTGAGGAACTGCCAAACTGTTTTCCACCAGCAGTTGCACCTCTTTACATTCCCACTAGTGGTGGATGAGGGTTCCAATTTCTCTGAGGTGGATTGATTTGGGGTGGAAGCTGTGGGGCTTATCTCCTGATTGATCCCTGTTTCAGATCCTCAGCTAAGAATGAAGGCTTGAGGATAGAGAAAGTGGTGGGAAACCGTCACCTGGGGAGTGAGAGAGTGACTGGGTAGGGACATGTTTAGAATTGCTTGGTGCTCTAAAGACCCTGGAAGTTGGTGCTCAGGATTTCAGAGCAAGCCAAACCAACATGGCCATGTGGTTTTCTCCTCCCAGCCACGTGTAGTGCCCCAGTACAGGTGTGGAGTAGGTGGAGAGCTCAGTGTAACCAGATGGGAGTAGGTGCAGGAAGCATAACATCCCGGCCTTCACCTTTCACCTCTGCAAACCACTTGCTCTGTCCTCACCCCCTCCTTTTAGATCTACTTTTCTCCACAGGCCTTGGGGACGCTGTTGGAGGCTCCCCAATCAAAGACAGGCTGGTATAACGAGCAGAGCAAGGCTTTGGACCCAGAAAAGCTTGGGTTCAAATCCTGCCTCTGCTGCTTATTAGCAGGATGAACCTGAGCAGGTCTCTAATCTTGCCCTGCCTTAGTGTCCTCACCTGTAAAATGCTGGCCTCCTGGGTGGTTGTGAGATAGAAATGGGATTGCAGGCAAACACTTTGCCCCCTGTTCCCCTCCACTGCCAGGCCCCTCCCATCACTCCCTGGGATGTTCCTGAGCCCCTGGCTATACAGCTGAGACCCCCTGCTGCCCTTTTCCTGTTTCTTCTCTTTCCTCCCTGAGAGCAACATGGCGGGGGGGGGGGGTTGGTGAGCAGTGACAGACTCCTCTAAGAATCTCGCAAAGCCAGGGATCATCTCCCTAGAAAGAATGTGCACACACACATGCACCTTGTGGGATTCATGGAATTGGGATCCATGAACCTCGTGAAAATTTATCCCAAGACCCCTTCATCCCATTCCCCCAGCTGCAGTGTGACCTTGAGAAAGAGCATCCCCTGGGGCTGGCAGCCAGCACTTCCCCCCGACGTCTATCCCTAAGTTAGCCTATTAGGTGATTGGGGTCAAGGCGATTGGGGTCGAGGCGATTGGGATCACTGCCAGAAGCAGGGACGGATTATCCAATACCAGATCATCATGTGTTTCAGCACGTGCTTACCTTGCCTGTTAGATAATCTGTCCCTGCTCACACGCCCATTGGCAGAACACCTCTTCTCCCACAATGACTAATACTTTCTGTCTCCGGAGCCCTCCTGCCTTAATGACATCAGGCATGGGGAAAGCAAGCGGAATCATAATTTCTTAAAATCATAGCTGCCCACTATCTTCAGCCTCCCCCAGGAAGTCTTGGAGGCAGAACTGCTGATAAAGGGTCTGTGACCAGGCATTTCCAGGTGTGTGTGTGAGAGGGAGGAGCTGGACAAGGGGATGAACAAACAGGCCTAGCTCAGCCCCACCTCCTCCTCCCTGGTTGCACCTGTACTGTTAGGCCCCAGGTTTGGAATTTCCAAGGTGCCCTCAACTCTGTCTTCCCTTGGCCCCCAAAACCATTCTGTCTGTTCCGTGTCTCAGCATCTCCCCTCCGTTCTCTCCTCTCTGTCTTAAATACACCTGCCTTGGCTCAGGCCCTGCTTACCTCTGTCCAGCTCCTTCTTCTGCCTCTCCACACGTCTGGATCCTCTTCCTCATTGGCTATCAAACTCACTGTCCTCAGACTGCGTTTCTCCCCTCTCCAAACCTTCAGTAGCTTCCCAGTGCCCACAGAGTCCAAACTTTTTAGTTTGGGATCCAAAGTCCCCAGCCTATGGTTTCCCTGTCTCATCTTCCTTCAAGCTGTTCTCATCATGGATCTTTGACCCCAGTCACACCAGCCTCCTCACTGCTCCCTTCTTCCCAGTCTCCATGATGTTTCTCTGCCTGGAAGACCCTTATCCAGGCCCCATCTTCTATGTCCAAATTCTACCCTTTTTTCCTTCCTTCCTTCCTTTGTTCCTTCATCTTCCTTCAAGGTCAGAATCAAATCTCCCCTTTTCCCTAAAACCTTCCCTTAGCCCCCTGAGCTGAAGATACCCCCCTTCCCTAGCTCTCCAATAGTAGGTATCACTTTCTGTCCCTTGTTTTTTCATATCTCAGCCTAACTAGCCTCTAAGAACCTTGATAGGGAAACACATCATATTTTTTCAGTACCTGAAGACATGCAATAAGATGGCAGAAATAAATCTTAATCACAAAAAACACAAAGGATTAAATTGCCCTATTTTTAAAAGCAGATAATACAAGCAGAGTGGTCCATCCCTCGTCCCCCCGTAACAGGTGCTCAGAAGATATTTGCTGAATAGATGACTGAATACACATCGCAGGGCCCCACAAGCAGGTGCTTCTGCTTGTGGAAACTGGAGGCACGGAGAATTGAGCTATCCCAGGGCCACACTGTTTGGAACTGAGAAGCCGGGACTCAGCCAAGCTGTCTGGCTCCAAAGTCTGTGGGTAACCACCAGCTCCATTGCCCCCACTAAGCAGGTCTGGGAGGAGAGTGAGCTGAGAAAATGGGGACGGGAGAGGGGCTGGAAGGTGAGTGGGGTCTTGGAGGATGCTGAAGGCTTCAGCGTCTGTGCCTCTATAGGACTTTGACAGGGGTGTGAGGGGGTCGGGCTTACACTTCTAAAAGGAAACCCCCTCCCCACCCAGCTGTGGCTGTGACCTCTCAGAAACAGGCAGGGGGTTAGCGCTTCATCTCAGCAGGCAGGAAGCTGAAGGAGAGTGAGATTCAGGAGTTCTTGGGGTAGGGAAGGGAGGAGGGAGGATACATGGGAAGAAGAGCCTTGGCTGACATGGTCCTTCTCCCTGCACTCAGTCTCCTCAGCTGTCCCTGCTTCTTACCTCCACTCTCCCCTCCTGCCACCCCTGTCACAGCTCCATCCTAGGAGGTATGTGACCCTACCCAGGGAGAGTTTCATTCCAGGGCTTCCCCTAGGCGCTTGCATAGGCACTCTCTCTCTTACTTTCTCTCTCTCTCTCTTCCCCCCTATAATCCTCCCTACCTGGCATAGCTTCCAGTTTATAGAGAGGAAATGAGGGCTCAAGGGAGCCAGGTAACTTTCCAAAGAATCACAGCTTTAATGGGGTACAGCAGGAATTTAGGCCAGCTCTGCTCTGAGCACTCCCCAGAGGAATTTTGCAGCAGATTTGATCACTGAATTTTCAAGGCCTTTCTGTGGATCAGAGAATTTAGCCCAGTGAGCACCATGGGTTGGAATCTGGGAAAAGGGTTTGGTGGATCCACAAACAAGCCAATTACAGCCTTGCCCTGAAGCAGCCTTTGTGGTGGCTGAAGACCTACAGGAACCCTTACTGCATAGCCCCAGGGAGGCTCATGTGCCTCTCTGTGGGGACAGCAGCATGGGGAAGCACGGGGTGGGGGGGTAGGGGGGGTGGAGCGGGGGTCCTCCAGGGTGGACAGTGACAGCCAGCCCCTAAGTTCCTCCTTCCACCCTAGTTCTGGACACGGCTGGGCAGGAGGAGTTCAGCGCCATGCGAGAGCAGTACATGCGGACAGGTGATGGCTTCCTTATCGTCTACTCGGTCACCGACAAGGCCAGCTTTGAGCATGTGGACCGCTTCCACCAGCTCATCCTTCGAGTCAAGGACAGGTGAGGGTGGTGGAGCAGGGCCTCCCTGGCTCCTGGCTCATAAGGGGCTCAGTATCTCTCTCTCTCAGATTTTCAGGCAAAAGCTGAGGCACAGAAGGGCAGAGCTGAATTCAGACCTTGTTCCCTCTCACTCCCATCCTAGTTCTTTCTCTGGGGCCAAACTGCTCCAAGGCCTCAAGGGGTCACCTCCCTCCCACATCTCATAAACTGTCCCCTCAACCAAGGAATCATGAACAATACGCTCCTTTTTCAGCACCAGTTTAACCAAATTACATTCAAAGAAAAAGTTAATTTTTTTTCTCCAGTATACATTGCAATGGACTGCCAAAAGAACAAACAAATCTGTCTTGGAAGAAGTACAGCCAGAATGCTCCTTAGGAGCAAGGATGGCGAGACTTTGTCTCACGTACTTTGGACATGTTATCAGGAGGGACCAGTCCCTGGAGAAGGACATCGTGCTTGGTAAAGTAGAGGGTCAGTGAAAGGAGAAAGACCCTCAACGAGATGGATTGATACAGTGGCTGCAACAACGGGCTCAAACATAACAATTGTGAGGATGGCACAGGACTGGGCAGTGTTTTGTTCTGTTGTACATAGGGTCGCTATGAGTCAGAACTGACTTGACAACATCTAACAACAGAATAACACACATTGCAATTGGTTAAATCTCATTTGATTGTGAGATTTACAAGCCCCTAATTAAAGGCTCATTTTTTTATTAACATTATGTGGAGTAATTAAATAATTTGGACTCTGTTTTAAGCCCAACTGGTCTTGTCAGTCAAGAAGAAAACAGTTAATTGGATCCCAAAGAGATAATCTAAAGAAAATAAGGGACAAACTAATGGGAAAACAGCAAGCCCTGAACAAATCCCAGCAAAGATGGAGGAATCCAGTTAATATCTATTCCAAAGGCTGAAGTGTTAATAACTTCACACATATACACTCTCTCTCTTTCACACACATAAAGCTCCAATAGATAAATGTGGGTTAAGCTCCTGAATATATGAATCTCAAAAGAGAAGACATAAATGATTCAAATGTGGGAAAATATTCAACCTTTTTGCTAATCAGTGACATGCAAGTGAAAATAATATAGGACTGTTTTTCACCTGTTCAATTATAATTTCTAAAATGAAAGTACCCAGTGCTGGTAATGGTACTGAAAGACCAACGTTTCATTTGCTTTTAGAATGCAGCTTGGCCACATGTCAATAACACTTTTAAGATGAACATGACGCTTGATCTATACTTCCACTTCTGGAATCTATCCTGATTTTTCAGCTGCCATTTATCAAGTGCCAACTGTGTGCCAGGCCCTGTCCCTGGTGCGCTTCATGAATTACTGCTGATGGCCATAGCAGCTCTCCATGATAGGTACATTACAATAACCGAGAGAGATAGTGGAAACAGGGACAGGGAATTAGTCCCTATCCCAGCAGCCGTGCCAGCGGCCTCATGGACAGTGCTGAGCCAAGGAGTCCCTTTCACCAGCTGTGGTAACTTACAGTGGAGTTGGGTCCCAGGACAGCCCCTTGCTGGCCTTGAAACAGGCCTAAATCTTCAAAGCAAGACAGCCAGAAGTCCCAGGCCCCTTTTTCCCCAGCCCACCCCCTAGTCTTGGCCCAAGTACCGTCCCCTCTCTGGAAACGTGGAGGGAATGGACTCTGGAGCCCCAGGCTGACTGAGGAGGTGCTGTGGGCTGTGTCATGCCCAAGATGTGGCTGCGCCGCCTTACCAGGTATACATTGGGGCACTAAAGCCTCACAGAGCCCCTGTTGCTTTATTTCCCAGGGAGTCGTTCCCGATGATCCTTGTGGCCAACAAGGTCGATTTGATGCACTTGAGGAAAATCACCAGGGAACAAGGAAAAGAAATGGCAACCAAACACAATGTAGGTGTTTTGTGTGTGTGTGTGTGTGTGTGTGTGTGTGCGTGTGTGTGTGTTGGACCAGGATGTGTCTAAAAGTTGATACCCCATCACTCCTGCAGTTATGGTGTGCTGGAATGGAACTTAGGCCTCCTAGTGTGAAACAAGACAACAGACTAGAGAGATACACACCAAACTAGAAAACTGGGCCGGGCAGACTCTGAGACGGTGGGTGTGTTGCAGGTTAAGTGGGCACAGACTGGCCAGGGGTCCCAGGGTTGAGTCCTGCTCATAGCTCAGCCTTGCCTCAGCCTTTTCCACCAGAGTCCACTCTGGAGGGCCTGGAAGAAGGGATAGAAGTCACCCCAAGATAGAGAAATAGAAGAAAAGAAAAATGAATAGAATCAGGAAGTATTTTAGTTTGACAAATGAAACAGTCTTCAAGTATATAAAAAGATAATTTTCTTCTATTTTTTGGGAGCTATTAAATATCTCTGTGACTAGAGAACAAGAGGGAATTGGAAAAGCTGTTAGTAAAACTTTCCAACCTTAAAGAGCGAGAGGCCACCACCACAGGAGGTATGAGGCTGTTGGGGTCCAGGGACTCTGTGGGTGGCTTTAAAAACACACAATTCCTTGGTACCTCTGAGAATCTGCATTTTTAAGGGTTTACAGGGCTTTGTGGGGCTCAGTGCCACTTTCATCAAGTTGAGCTTGCCTTTCAGATTCCGTACATAGAAACCAGTGCCAAGGACCCACCTCTCAATGTCGACAAAGCCTTCCATGACCTCGTTAGAGTAATTAGGTGAGAGCTGCACACTGTCCTAGAAGCAGGGTCCTCTGCCGCATGGATGGCACCTGGCAGCAGCTGGAGGCTCCAGTAACGAATGCAGCTCCTCGTTCTGTGGCCTGTGAGGCTGGGGGATTCTGGGCCTATTTTTGGGTTTCTTTCCTTTTTGTGTGTGTGTGGTAAATATATATGTAACAAAACATTTGCCATTTCAACATTTTTTATGTGTACAGTTCAGTGACATCAATCACGTTCATCTTGTTCAACCATCACCACTATCTGTTCCTTTTTTTGGATTTCTTATGCCTCCATCCATTTCTTTCTCCTATCCCCCACCCACCCTCTCCCTCCCCCTACTACAAATGGGTCTGTGGGTGAGCCTGATGCTTACAGCTAAATGGGATGCCTTCCTGAGGGGTCAGCTTTGGCAGCCTCCCCTCTGACCTCTCCCTCAGTCCTGCAGCTCAGGCTCCCTGGAAGGCAGCTCCCTCCATCCTGTCCTGTGTTCTCTCAACACTGAAGCTTTCAACTTGGTAAAAAGTAGGTCCATCTCCTCTTCCCTGACTGGTATCAGACTGCCCATTGACATTTTACCTGAGCAGCCAACATTCTGATTCCCAGGCTCAAATTTCAGATGCACTGCATATGTGTTTCCTTTCCAGACCCCACGCACTGTCAGTCTCCAAATATTGTCAGAAACCTTGCTGAATAGACCCTTGTATATTCCTTTGTATGGTCACAGTCCAGACCTTAATCACCTCATGCCTAGAGGACTGAAGCAGCCTTTTGGCTGGTCTTCCTGCTACCATTCTTTCCTGTTTCCCAAATCTCCAACATTCAGAGCCACCTAACCATTGATTCTCAAACACCATTCATGGAGCATGTTGCCTGTATGCTAGTGAACTCTAAGTGCTATTGGTTATCTGTGAAATCAGACCCAGGGCTGCACCAGTTTCTCTGTCTGCCACCTCTCAGCCCCCGTGATACAGTATTTGCACGCATGAGCGTGTGCACGGATGCACACACGTGCGCACACACACACACACACACATACACAAGCTCAGCAACCTCATTTTCTTACTATTCCCCACTGTCTTAGGCTGGTTTCTCTAGAGGAATAAAAGCAGTGAAACATATATGTAAATATATATAGAGAGATTTATTTCAAGGAAATGGCTCACGTAGTTGTGGAGGCTGGCAAGTCCCAAATCCATGGGTCAGGTATCAGGCTGGAGGCTTCTCCTGACTCACATGGTTGCAGGGGCTGACAAACCCAAAATTGGTAGGTCAGGCGCAGGCTGCTGGCTCACATCCCAAGAACCAGAGGTCAGAGGATGACGAGGCGAATGCAGGATCGAGAGAGAGAGAGCTTTGCCAGAACATCCATATATATTGGATGCAGGCCACACTCCCAAGGAAATTCCCTTCAGCTGATTAGCTGCTTACATCAGATCACAAAATGGAGGATGATTACATATATCTGCCAAACCACTGAGAATCATGGTCTAGCCAAGATAACACATAAACTTAACTATCACACCCATCATGGACAGTGACGTTGCAGCTTTCACTTTATGGTTTTGCAGCACTCTTGAAATGATTTGCTCTTGGGCATTTTGCCTGCAGTTAGAATATACCAACACCAAAAACCCATTGCCGTCGAGTTGATTCCAACTCATAGCGACCCTATAGGACAGAGTAGAGCTGCCCCATAGAGTTTCCAGGGAGCACTTGGTGGATTTGGACTGCCAACCTTTTGGTTAGCAGCCATGGCTCTTAACCACTATGCCACCAGAATTATCTTGGTGCAAGTTTTAGTCATAGGAAAAGTAAACAGAAAGCATGTAAAAAGCTTTTGTACTCAGTTGACCTGTCATTTTATTTAAAATATGAAGCACAGAAAGAGGCCAACACTATTTAAAAGATAAAACATGACACTGCTTATGATTTAAATATGTAGCCTCAGCATAATGCCGGTAATTCTAATCAGTAGGATGGTTTAGTTTTTCCTCTGACCTCATCTCCCTCCAGTTTCTTGGCCTCAGAGTCACTATCCAGGCCAGGCCCTCCTCCAGCATCTAGGATGGCAGCAGCCCCACCCCCTAGGCCAGAACAGGCCTTCACTGCCACAGAGCAGGGGGCAAGGGAGGCGAGGAGCAAAGGAGAAGCAAAGCCCATTCTGACTTTGTTTTTCTGTTCTTCTTTGTTTCAAAAGGCAACAGATTCCTGAAAAAAGCCAGAAGAAGAAGAAGAAAACCAAGTGGCGGGGAGACCGGGCCACTGGCACCCACAAACTGCAGTGCGTGATATTGTGATGGGCCTGAGGCCTAGGGCATGGCGACCGTGAACTGGCCAGCCCTCGGGACCCCTCCATTGCCTAACTGCACTGAAAACCATTTCTAACCGCAACCCTTGGCCCAAGACTTGGCACAGGAAGGGAGAAAGGGAGGATGGGCAGGGAGGAGATAGGGTTTGTCTTTGCCAAAGGGCGCAGGCTTTCCAGTCTCTCACAAGAGACAAGGAAGCAACACATAAACAGAAGCAGCATCCAAGCCCCTCATGTGTTTATTCAACCCAGTTCCTCCCCTTCTCTTAGTGGGTGTGTGGCTTCTTTTAACTATATAGTGTTGATTTGATGTGGAGGTATTTATCCATGTACAGATACAAAACAAGCCATAAGCAAACTTTTCCCCCATGCCCCCAGTCAACGGTGTCTAAGTTTGGATGTCTTTTCTAGACTTTTAAAATTATTTTAGTGATTCTTATTTTATTAAAGGGATCTGCCTGCTGATTGGTGAAATTTCTCATCTTCAGAAAACCTCTCTGATAACAAGTCTGGAAGGTTTCGTTTTTGTTTTTTTAAACTGAGTTCTCCCAGCAGTATCAAAACTCAATATGAAAGTATAGTGACTTAGAGAACAGAAGTTAACGGGAACTGTTGCTGGAGGCCTCAGGTCCTGGACCAAACCCTGGAGGGAAACAGACCCTACTCACAGCCTATAAACTGAAGAGAACAGAGATGTGTTTACACAGAGGACTTTGTGTGGTTGAGACTAGGAAACAGAATTTTACTTTGGGGAGAGGAGAGGCCAGCATGTCACTGCTAAAAGAGGTTTTCATTACCTGGAAATGTATAAGCTGATGGGCTTTGCAAAAGTGTGAATTTATTTTTCAGGCAACGTGGGTTAAGTTCCGTGTTCTTCCTGGCCACGTGAGAGGGTCCTGGGTTTCTCAGATCTGTCTCTTTGTGCTTTCTCCCATCACCTGTGCTGCCTGGTGACTCTCTGATATAAAATCCCTGACATGGGCGTGTATGTTTCTCCATGTCCAAGCATAAGCTACTGTGGACACCATCCAGAAAACTCTAGTTCATGCTGAATCTTAACCAAAAATGACTGAATACCACTAAAACAGCACCATGAAGGACGTGGAGCCATTTTCCCTTAGAGTCAACTGATGACCACCTCTGTAAGCCTAGTAAATGAGCGGACTTCCAGCATTCACACATATAGTATTAGGTTGCTTTTCTGACACACACTTTATTAACCTCTTGGATCTTGACTATTAGATGTGATTGGAGGAGAAAGAAAGATAGGGCTGATGACATGGCTTTCATGCACCTGTTTCTGCAAGGGGACAGTCACCCCAACTCCCCGATGATACCCCCCTCCCTCCTAGGTGCTGCTGATGTGAGCCCAAGACTGGGTGTCTTCCAGCCAGGGCAGGAGTGGCGGGGCAGCAGGAACAGCAGCATGCCCAAGAGGTCTAAAGATAAAGTGGCACAGCTGGTGGCCTTATCTACCAGGTGTTACAAATCAGATCACTAGGCAAAGTAGAACATCCCTAGCAACTGGCCTGGCCACTCTTTGGAGAAAGAAACCCAGGGAAAGTGAGCACCAGATCAGACATTGAGATACCTGGATTCTTCTCCAACTTTGAGAGTACACTGAATTCCTAACTTGGCGAAATCACCAGCACTAGGGACCCAGCTGAAGAATGATTCTGCTGCAGAATGAAATAGTTGGGGGTTTTGTTCATTGGAAATAAAACTTCTTATTTGTCTAATAATTTCCTCAAAGGAAGGATAACAAAGAACATTCCAGATGAGGCACTTCAGAGTTTCTCAGGATCCTTTAATGTTAGTGAGCATCTTAAACACTAAAAGGACAAGGTTTTTCCCAAACTCTGTGCTCCTCTGAGCTGCATCTGTGGCAGATGTGTGAGTAGCTGAATGGCGGCTCTCAGCAGCCAGCTGGAAGGGGAGACAATGGAGGAAGAAAAGATAGATGGGAAGAAGGATGAGAGATGCTCTGCATTGACAAAGTGATGGAATGAGACAAGAAGCCCTGCATACAGGGCAGTGTCCACTGCTGGAAAACATGTGCCAGGCACAGACAACCACCAGCACACCCCCTGCCCAGGCACAGCCTGCAACTCCTTGGCAACACTGAGGGAGAGTCTTGTGGGAAGTAGATCAGTTGACCTAGAATGGAGCTTTTAGCCATAGTTAACCAGACAAAGGGACTGATGGTTCCTGGCTCCATCTTCTAGGGATCTATCCTGCACACAGCCCCCAGCTGAACCCCACAGTGCCCAAAAGAGAAACTGGTTAAGGAAGGGCCTTCTGCAGCCTCTGCTCTTGGGTAAACTTTACCTCCCATAGCCTCATTTTCCCATAGGAAATGGATAAATAACACTTTTAAAAGACTGTTTTGTTTTGGTTTGGTTTAGAGATGGGGCTGTGGTGGAGATGGCTCCTAGATAAGCCAGAGCAGGCCTGGGAGTAGAGGAGACCTGGGCATTCCCCGTACAGCATCTTCTCTATGATCACCTGGCAGGGTCACTCTGGGAAAGCAGCTTGCCACATTACTACATGACTGAGGAGCCACTGGGACTTGTGTCTCTGGTGACATCCTGATGTTCCTCCTGGTTTCCAGACCCCCTGAATAGTACTAACTGTACATCCCCTGGAGCATACCCTTCCTGAACTCCCCTTACCGTATGCCTTTGCCACTGTGTGCTCTCAGATTTCCTCCCAATATTCTGACACCACCTTAGGGGGCTACTTTTCTCCCCAGCAGGGAATCCTAGCCACGTAGGGGAATGTGTGGTTGGTTGTTGGTTTCCAACCAACTTGGATGGTTTCTATTAGGACTTTGCCCACCACCTTCTTGTGGCGCTTGCTGTGGAGACTGTCTGGTTGGCCTAAAGTGGCCTATCTTACTTTGCCAGAGGACAAGACCCACTAACACGTGGCGACTCTGACCCTAAGACCCCTCAGATGTGTTACAGTAAATCCAGAGCCACAGACAGATCTCTCCATTATCAGACCATTAGGTTCAAAATTTCATGTCGGGTTTGCTTAGAATGAAAGATACTTGAATTCATGAGCACCCGGTTTCTGTTACACGGATGGCCGTTGTGAACGAGAATGATGCCTGAAGATCTCAGTGATGTGCAAGCCTTTTACCTTAACTTTTTATTAAGTCTTTGTGTATCATGACTCATGAATAAAGAAAAGAAGAACACTTGCCTGTCTTGCTTCTTCTTATTCAAATACTCCTAAAGTTGTTCTGCAAAAATTGTGAGTTGTCAATGACTTACCCAGAACACGCCCCCTTACCAAGCATGACCTTTGTCCTAACCAAACCTAAAGTATGGAGGAGACCACAGGTGTCTTTGAGGGATGTCTCCTTCCTGCACGGGGCCAGAGGCTGAAGGCAGGTTAGTGCAGTGTTTAGAGACACAGCCTCTTGAAGTTGGACAGACTTGACATATATGTGCCTTGGAGCAAATTACCTGCTTTAATCTTCAGTTGCCCTGCCTGTAGATGAAACAAGAGTATGCATCTCCTTAGTAGCTTGAGTAGGTCCCCGATTAGTGCAAACGGTTAAGCACTCAACTATCATCCAAAAGGTTGGCAGTTCGAACCCACCCAGAGGTGCCTCAGAAGACAGTCCTGGTGACCTGCTTCCAAAAGGTCACAGCCTTGAAAACCTTATGGAGCAGTTCTACCCTGCACACATAGGGTCACCATGAGTCAAAATCGACTCAATGGCAACTAACAAGTAGTTTGAGGACTAAAGCTAAATGTGGAGCATATGGTGAAGGGTCCAGAAATGATGCAGTTTGTAAGGGATACCTACTGGATTTTCTGCCTAACACTCCTTTTCATGGAAACTGCCCCTCCCCATCCACAGGGGTACATTGTCTTTTGTACAGTGTGCTTTCATTTTTCTGTTGATTGAACCTGGTGAGTACTTGACCAAACTGAGCCTCTCAGGGTCCCTGTTCTAGTAATTGGGAATAGAGACCAAGTTCCTCTTGGTACCTCTTTGAGTGACTGTAACTAAAACATGTAAACCTGAGGGGCTGCAGGGTGCTTCTCACACCCTCTGGGCTGGGAGTAGAGAAGGCCAGAGTGCAGAGAGGCTGGAGGGGAGGGGGTGATGTATTGGATGGTCCAGGCCTGGCTTCCTGCCTGTTCAATTCATTCCACCAATATTCATTAGGGCCTACCATGTGCCAGGGGACATTGTTGATGCAGCAGTAGAATTCTCGCCTTCCATGTGGGAGACCCAGGTTTAATTCCTGGCCAATGTACCTCATGCACAGCCACCACCCGTCTATAAGTGGAAGTTTGCATGTTATGATGCTGAATAGATTTCAGCAGTGCTTCCAGACTAAGATGGACTAGGAAGAAAGGCCTCGTGGTCTACTTCCAAATATCAGCCAATAAAAACCATGCGGATCACAAAGTCTAATCCACAACCAATCGTGGGAATGGCGCAGGACCAGCAGTGTTTTGGTTCACTGTGCATAGATAATGTCGCCGTGAGTCAGGAGCCAACAGCAGCTAACAACACCACCATGTGTCAAGCATTGGGCTAGGTATATGGCACTAGGTATATGGTGGTGAACAGTACAAAGGGTCTCCTGATAACCGGTTCTCCTTTTGCCCCTTAGGTCAGCACAAATGTTCTTCCTCTTACAGTCAAAAGTCTACATGATACACTACATTTGTAAGACATCCCACAGCATGACAGGGTTTAGTGTGTGGAGGGCAGTGTGGAGGGTGGGCTGGCTCCATTTAAATGACCTGGCATGGACTGGAGAATAGAAGAGTAGACTTAACTGTACCTTAAAGGCCAAAAGTCCCTCTTGGTGGCAGTTCTTTGTCTAATAGACATTGGGAGTTCACACTTACACAGTGTGCTGTTTTCTATGATCCTCAGAAGTAACCTTAAGTGGGAAAAATTGGAATCTCAGAAAATCACCTGGACTGGAGTCATCTTGACAAGGACAGCATACACCTGGATCTTTACAAACCCAAGATACCATGTCCACACGCTCTTGAACCCATGGCAGGGTGGATGTCCTGAGCCCTTCTGTGACCAGGGCTTATGGAGCTCCACCCAGGTGCTTGCTCCAAGGAGGGCATGCTTTTTTAAATACTTTGAGTTGTTGCTATGAGAGCAAACACTTGCACCCACTTTAAATTGCCCATCTCCAGAGCTGCACCCAGCTTTGGTAAAGGAGGCCACAGCCTGTCAGTGGGGTGGATGGCCAGCACAGTCTGGCAGGCTTGAGGTGCTTTCCTCCCTGTAGCACCAAACACATCCAAACACCAAGAGACTGACCACCTGCCTCTGCAACCCCATCAAAGCTACTTCCCAGGCTGTGTCCCAGCTGGAGCCACCTCCAGCTCCCACTGTAAGTGTTGAGTCCCAGCCATCAGCACCCTCTCCATTGTCTTCAGGGCAGCAGTGAGGAACACACCTCATGGTTCTGTTTAAAGACTAGACAAGTCTACTTGAGTGTGGCTGGCAAACCTGAGCCTGTAACGTGATCACAAATTTATGACAAGCACAAGGTGAGGCTGAAACCCAGGGTAAACCATGGGGCAGGCAAGCAGGGTGTGTCCCAGAGCCTGAGGTCTATCTTACTTGCATTACTTGAGACCCTATAGCTGAGGTAAAAGACACTAATTTATTACCAATAACATCAACTCCCTATGTCCTAGGCTGGGTTCTCTAGAGAAGTAAAACCAGTGAAGTGTAGAGAGAAAGAGAGAGAGAGATTTATCTCAAGCAAATGGCTCACACAGTTGTAGAGGCTAGTAAATCCCAAGTCCGTGGGTCAGGCG